TGTGTTCTTGCCACAGCAAATTACAAAGAAATAGCCACTGATTAATCTATTTTCTTCCTCTTAATCTATTGAGGATGTGGAGTGTTAACGGTCAGGTGAGAGTATACAGTTCTAAGTTATGTTATTATGTTATGAATCCAGTTTTAAACTATTTTAACATGTAGTATTGACAGTTTTCGGGTTCATGTCATTTAAGAGTATAAGTGACCCAAATGCTGCTAAGAATCCACCTGAAAGAATCAGAAAACCGAGCTTTTACCGCAGCTGATGTAGCTCCAGATCACAAATAAAGTCTGAAAACGGCATGGAGACATGTGTTCCAGCCTTGTTTGCACTGTAGCCGAGGATATGCACAGGGAAAATGGAAACATAAAGGTAAGAAGACACAGCTGAACTCAAACTACTGAGACACGAGGCACCTGTAGTAAAACTAAGGTGAAGAAAAGAGACTGACAAAATCAAACAGGAAGTAGCTAACTGGACACAGTGACAAGCCGCTGACACTCAACTGAACACCGAGAAACACGGTGAGGCTACGATCACCAAAAACACCAAGGACCAAATATAATAGAACTCAAAGACTACTTGACCTATAATGATCATTCTAAACAGGCTAATGCTAAAATAATCATAGAATCTCAGATAAATGGTAATCCAAATTAAAGTTCAACAATAATAATGACAAGCTAAAACAAAACAAAAACAAACAAACAATAATCATAAAAATATGCCGACGAAATGGGTAAAAATCAGGGCCAGAAGACCTTCTATCATAATCAAGCATATGTTATTATAACAGGAAGAAAACAAACTTTAATCATTTTGTGAGCATTTTTTCATTCAGAAAAACGTGTCTATGATTTTTAATAGTTTCAGAAATAAATGTCCCTCATATGTTTGGGTATAGCCTAACAGACTAAATCAATCCTCATTTAGATACAAAGCTAATACTTTAACAGCTGAAAACTGAGAGTGCTCTTTGGTGAGCATTGGCATTGAGCACTGATTACTACTAATAACTTTTCAGACTCGCGATATCGGACCATAAAAAAGCAACAAAACATTAATGCACACATATCCATCAATAATGACCAAACGCTGTCACTTAACTGTGATTTTCCTTTTTTAAAGTCAGCATCCAGCCTGAGTGTTACACTAAACGTCACTGGAGGCAAATGAGGTTTAAATTCACCTTTCAGGGAAACACTTAAAGTTTATGTTATGCTCTGTATCTTCACAACTGGATAGTTTCAGAATAATGTTACAGTATTGCCCTCAAATATTCTGCCTTCCTTTTTTCTTTCATCTAAGTTTTTGTGTTTTTATATATAAAATCTTTTCCGTGAGAACTTCGCCCGTTTAAGAAACCCTCACACGAGCAGATCCATGAGTTCTCCTGTTGAAACGATAACCTGTAGCTGTGAAGTGAGAGCATACCTCTAACGCACAGCAGAGACATCGCAGCGGGATTTTGTGCAACAGTTCCTCCGACCAGCC